ATAAGTTCTGATAAATGCCTTCATAATCAGCCATATATTTCCATCAGGGCTTTGTGACCCACTGATTGCAAACCACTTGTCTAATTTATTATCAACCTTTGCCGGAAGTATAGTAGGACTTACCTCATATTCCTGTTCAACAGATATATCAAATGCAGAGGTTACACTTGTTGGGGATATCATAATGGAATGTATTGCTAAGAGTTTGATGCAGTTCCGAAGACGTCCAATTGTTTTACGAATATCAACTGGGACCTGTTTGGAATTCCTATGAGCTTAGTATATCAAGAGTGCATCTCACTTTTATTATCATAAATCTAAGCCTAGCACATTTCTTGAATATGGTGCCTATGTTTCTTTTTCATTATATCAGTATTTAAGTAAATCTATGTAAATTATAGATTAGAAAAAGAGAATATATGGTAAATATTAGTTTTTATCATTCTACATATTTCATAGAAGCATTAGTTTGATTTTTCCTACTAATGCACATATTAATAAGGGGATCAATATAAATATCAAATATTACTGAAAGATATCTAAAAATGTAATCAATTTTTTTGGGACATGAAATCCCTTACTAAATTAATACAAATGAAAAAATACAATGTGCATTTTTGTCTGCCTGAAAAGCAATACAGTATTTCAATTTTCACTGACTCCTCAAAATATGAAACAAATCTGGAGTTTTAAATCTAAAGATTATTTCTAATATTTTACACAATAGACATGTACTATGTAACTATCAATAAGCACAATTAATCATGTGGATTATACCTCTTCAAAGTTGACAGTATAAGTTGATGCTTGTTCTTGTGGTACTGTTGGAGTAATGTACACATATCCATTTGCTCCAAACACAACTCGTGCACCACAAGGGAGGTCGTGCATTCTCTGCTTGTCTTGGACAATAAGTGATGGTGATACAGCTAGGAGTGTTCCTTGTGATAGCTAGAGGAAGAAAATATATCTTAGATCAAATAACCAAACCCAAATCATAAAATGAATAGTAAAACAAAATCATTGCAGTCACTTTAATGATATTACTGAAACTAATTCCTAAAATATCTTTAATTCTTCCATTAAGAAAGTAAAGAGAAAGATATTAGTATACTTATCTATGAAAGAAGCTAATGACATGAGATCTCATCACAATACCTTTCCATATTTGATGCTACGAGCAGCCAATCTTAACAATCCATCATCACTAATCTTCTGAACTTCAACACAGACAAGGTCTCCTTCCCGTAGTAATCCTCTCATGCCACGTTCATCCTCCAAATTACTACGACGCTAAAAAGAAGGAAAAACAATTACGTATACACACAGCTAACATAAGTTGGAAACTTTTTCATTATCTTAGAAACCTAGCTAGCTTAATAAATCTTTTAATCCAGTGAATCCGGGTGATCGATATCTTCCCATGAAAAAAATTGGCCCAGGAGTAGCTGATGGGAACATTCTGTCAAGGGCAATTGTTGCCAAGTGTCAGGTGAGTGTCATTATAAGTGCACAAAGTACTTGGAATGAGACCGACTCAGCAGGCTTTCAGGAAAGGATTTGCTTGTAAGTTGCTGCGAGATTTCCTTTGGTTTAACGGCTATCAACCATGCCTGGGCCATTTCCAGGGAATGGGTTATGTCCATGTACAGACACTTATTCCTGTCTGCCATTACCCAAGGTATAGGGTGTGTTTCAGAAAATTTAATAATATAGAAATTTTAAAAATAACAGGAATAACATAAAGCAACTCATTGTTACTGTTAATTTACAGTTCATATACTGAAGTTTCATAGAACATGATTCAGTTGCAAATAGTTTAAGGCATGATATCACCTTCAGTTAATTTGTAAATACGTATCATGCACAGTAGAAGTAAACTACCAAGGAACTTCATACTTGCTCTCCTCCTGGTAACTGAATATTTGACAGTCGAAGCTCAGCATCCAGCCTGGAATTAACATCTACTTTCCATCTGTTAGTCTGAACCTGTGTGATACGTCCAACAATAGTGTCACCAACAGCACCTGGAACCAAATATTAATGAGCATTAATAAAAAAATAAAGGAATCAAAGAGCTTTACACTACCTGCAGTTCAAACAACATTTTCTGACATTAACCCATTGCCCCCGGGGCAAATGAACAAAAAATGGGGGAAATGCAGTACTCATTTTTTATATTATTGTGAAATATCTCTGTCCATAGATGGCTCTGCTAGTCCTGATTTCACCTTTCCTTGAATTGGCAGGAAAAAACTTATTCTTACTAGTGCTATAAATATAGATGGTATTATTTTTAACGGCAAATTAGGATAACGTTAAATATTGTCGTAAATCGATGAAAAGGGTGAACGGGCGAGACAGGCAGTACTTGTAATTGGCTCATTGGATACTTAGTACAAGTGTAGCCATCTATGTGTAAAAACAATCGAACAAGTCACCTCACAGTGGGCATGGCATATACGTACATGCCATCCCCGGCGGCAATGGGTTAAAGATGAGAGATATAGAATTCAAAATGTTGGACTTCTGAATGAACTGTAGAGTAACATATATGAAGAATCATCAAATTGTGCAAAGTAATGGCAACAATCCATAATTTGAAGAATATAGCTGAATAAAAAAAGCTTATTCTCAAAAAATATTTCAGATTCACTCTATCAAACTTAAAAAATTATTTCAATCAGGCAAATGTACTATAGAATAATATAGATGAATTAAGTTTTAAAATACTTTCACCAAATCATACACCTATAACACAGAAGCAATATCTTAAAACATCCACATGACATAAAAAATAATAATAATAAAATAATAATTAATTAATTAACCCATTCCCGCCGGGCATGCCATGCCATGCCATGCCCACTGTGATTACTTGTTGGATTGTTTTCACACATAGATGGTTACACTTGTACTTAATCACCAATGAGCCAGTTACGAGTACCGCCTGTCTCGCCCGTTCACCCTTTTCTTTGATTTACGAAATATTTTACGTTATCTTATTTTGCTGTTACTAATGTTAAAAAACATTATAAAAATTATAATGTTTGTGATAAATATAACACCATCGATATTCATGGCACTAGTGAAAAATACGTTTTTTCCGCCATTTCAAATCAGGCACTAACAAAGCCATCTATGGGCAGACATTTAACCAAAAAGTGTAGAAAATAGGCACAGCATTTTCCCCAATTTTTGTTCATTTTCCCCGGCGACAATGGGTTAATAAAAAATATATATATATCCTCATCTTAATAATGAACCCTCAAACAAGTCACACTTTAATCATTGATATTTATGTCAGTTTCCACACTGTGGAAAGTTGTCTTACAAGACTTTTGTTCCAAAATCTGACATTAAAATTACAAGCAATTTATCAAACCAAGCTAAGAACAAAGATTCAAATATTTGATTTCAATAAGGACAAGTATTAATTACAAAGAAATACATCTGACATCATCTGATACTTATTGTGCATCACCACCGATAAATATCAAAATCTCTAACAATATCACATAGCAGAATGTCTCAATAATCATACAATTTACATTATAGACTACAGAGATTGGAAACTAACATATGACAATTATACAAATAAGCAGGTAGCAGAAAAAAAGAGGCTCACAATTTTTTTTTCCTAGAATCTACAGGACAGACATCTGATGCAGTATAACCAACAACAGCCATTATAATTATATAACAAATATGGATTTCTAAGGAATCAAGAGAAAACAACAATGAAACATAATGCAAATAATCATGTTAAAGAAATAGAAAAAAAATATACAATACTACATTTTAGGTAGCTGATAAAAAAAAAAAATAAAAAAATAAAAAAATAAAATAAATGTTTATTACATCACTTGCCTTGATACACTTGCCGCAGGGGGGTGACAGTGATGAGACGATTAACTCGGGTTACATATCCTGCAACTGATGCAACCTGAACTCCTTCTTCCATGTAAGTGCCATGACCCCTAAATAAGCAAAATGGAGATATTGATTATCTTTAACTCTGATTTAATCTGACCATCTCTACTTAAATCAAGCTGAAGGAGTTAGTTATTTAGAAACTGGCAGGTTAATTTGGCTATTCTTACAATTTCAAATGTTATAATCTGGTAATCCAGGGAAAAAAGGGATCAAACACATCAAGTATTGGAATTTTAAACTCCAAGCCAAACTATGAATAGATAGACTTTAGAAGGAATTAATTACAACTGCAAACATCAACTAAATCTCACTTGTTTCTTCTTCTTTGTCTTGCATTATAACATATTCTAGGTGAAGGAAACATTACCTTCTTCATATCTAAATAACTAGATTGTAGTTCGGTGTATCAAGAAATATCAAAGTTACACTTACTTGTAAAATCCTTTACTGATATAAGAAATAATATAGTTTCAGTTTAACACAACTTTATGTTATACTGTAAACTTAGCCTGTACTGGATAGAGAAACAGAAAGGGAAAAAGAAAGAGAAAACTACACCCACTGATATATGAAATAATTTGTGCAGGCAGAGAATTATGTCACAAATTAGGAAAAAAAATTGCAGTTAATGCCACATAGAGAGCAAGTCCACAACAAATGAGTGGGTGTCCAAAGGCAGAGCCCCTGATATGGAAATAAGGCAACTGGATGGTGGTCCTCAAGGCAAAGTCTCCGAGTTAAAAGAGTTTTTGAGTTTTTTTATTTTGGGCTCTCTGACACTTGCATGTCAAATAACTTTGTTACTTTTTATTTGCAACAGAAGTACATAGAATATAAGTTTCTTAGATCTATTTGCTATGTTGTTAACATATATTATTTTCCTTATAAATGTTTGTTGGATGAAACTTGACATTACCATTTTCCTTATAAAAGCTGGCTGGACGAAACTTAACCATTATTGGCTTTTGAGTCATATGGCAATGTTTGTGGATTTCCCAGGAGTGGCTTGGGCAGTCAATTCATATATAGTTAGCAATACTTTCATTCATATCATTTGGAAAACA